ATATAACATAAGTAATAAACCAATTAAAAGTTAGTTATATAAATTTGCAATCAAAATGTTTTTCTTTAGTATATAATTATAATATAAATTTAGAATAATCAATTTCACACAACAAATTGTTTGAAATTTCAGAGAAATAACTGTAACGTCTGTAACTAAAATATTATATCAGTATTGAAGTTAATAATAAGCTTAAATATTTTTAATATTAAATTATTAAATAAATAAATAATAAAGAAAGAAAATTAATATATTCATGAATTAAATAAACTCTAAGATACCAATTACTAGTGCAATAAATATAATAAACAGTATACAATATAACTACATTATATTAAATAATAATAATGGTACTTAATAAAATCAGAAATAAAATTGTAATTTATTTTATATATTATGTATTTATTTTTAAATAAACCATTCAATAACTATCAACATAAATGTTTTAATAACTATTTAAACAAAAGTATTGATTAAAATTATAACAACATTTTTATTATGAATCCGTTCAGACGAAGACCTAGTTTTCACTTGCTCTTAATTAACTCAGAGTTTTAAAACTATAGATAGGCCAATGATAAAAAAACAAATCATACATATATCACAACAATATTGTTCAATCATATAACTTTTACTTTAATAAATAACTAATACCAAGAAACTAGTGCCTACAACAAAAAATAAACAGATACCTACTAGCTACTAAAATATAATTACAATTTAAAACACACAAAATATGTGGGTTGTACACACAATTTTAAACATTAGGTACTTTAGTTATATATAGTGTCTACTGTTTATATAATAGTGTTTTCTAAATATATTTTTATCTACAAAGGGTAACAAAATTTCTCTTAAATTCAATGATTTTTTTTTGTTTACTACCAAACAAAACAAGTTTTTTAGAATAAAAAAGTAAAAAAATGCATTGTTGAATAAAATTATCATTGAAATAAAAAAAATTCTAAAATTATTTAAATGTAAATAGGTATACTATCTTATTGAAATTAATAACCACAAAAATTAGTTAAACATTATTAAAATCATAGATAAAAATTATAGGTGGATACACAAGGTAAATAAAATAAATTATTAACGGACTTGAATATTTAAACTATTTTCTAGAATATTCTTTTAAAAGATAAAGTATATTCATCAATTTTTTTACAAATAAAGTGTATTTATAATATACGTAAATAATAAATATTTATTTAAAACTCATGTTATTGTAAAATTAATAGCTTTCTTGCTATACTTTAAACCTAAGATATGTATATAAATGAATAATATACTCAAAACTAAAGTATGAAAATTAAAAATAACTTAAAAACTTACCAAATCTAATTTATATTATATAAAACTTAATACATTTTTTAATAAATCATATTTTGAATTAAAATATCATGATATCATCAAATAAAATTCAAATTTAAAAAGTGTTTACCTACCAACACTAAACAAATAATTTGATTTAATATTAAATACTGATAATAAATAGTTTATATCTTATCATTTTATAGGCTATTTAAATAATATTCCTGGCAATAACAAGCTAAAATTAATAATTGTTATCACAGTAAAAATAATTCTCATTAAATTTCACTCCTCAGCTCTCGCTGTACCTAGGCAATCTGATCATTACAGTTATAAATTTATATTGTTAACTAATTACTGATAAATACAATTATTTAAATGCATAAAAATCTGGTTATAAAGCTTAAGATATTAGTTTCTTATTTGCTCTTTGAATAAAATCAAAAAATTTAAGGTTTGACAAAATTATTTGGTAACTTTTCGTAATAATTAATTAGTATGCACAAAGAAATAATATAAGTTAATAAATAAATCTAACAAGATAACAATATACATAAATAAATGCCTAATACATGTTTAAAAACAATTAATAACAAATGATAGGTATTTGTACAGCTATAATTAAACAAACATTTAAGTCAAATTAATTTAAATAAATGTATAAATCTTTTCAAGGGCTTGTTTAAAAAGAATAATTTGATAGGTAATATTAAAAAGTAATTTATAAATTAATTATTCATGGACAGAATAAAATTAATATGATACTACCAAGTTAGAATTTACTAAATAATAAAGTAAATTTAATCAAATTCAATACAAAACTCTTTGATAATTATACTTTTAAATAAATTTACATTTGTCCACAGTAATTTAAGTGTTAAAAAAATTATTTAGTAAGGCTGATGACTCCAAACAATAGTTATGCTACACATAAAAAAACATATTCATCCTAAAGTACTTCACTAAAATTAGGTGTCTACCTAACCAACATGCCATTTTATAAAATTGTCTAACCTAACTTTTTGATTATAAAATTATTAAAAATCAATTAAAATTAAATATAATATCTATAATCATAATTAATCTTACTTATTTTTATTTTATTTAAGAAATAAATTTTAATTTATCATAGTTACAAAAACAAGGTTAAATTCAATTTGTAACATAAAATTTGTTAAGTATAATATAGAGAAATGTAAAAATTATTAAAGTTCAAGTATTTGATTATATTTAACATAAAAACTTAATGATATAAATTTCTTAATTTATAAACTAATATCACAATTAAGAATAAATAGTGAGGAAATCAAATCTAACAATCAAGACATTTAAAAGTATATGCAATACATATAAGACTCTTACGTTTGTGGACCTAAAGTGTATACCCTGTACTGGTATGAGACATCATGCCGCACAAAAACCAAAAACTAATCAGTTTTGAGCATACCCCACTATCTTCTTGTAAAATTTGAATGCATGGAGGTGATAAGACAGCCCAGGCAATTGGATGATTTAATTATACATGTGCAAGTTCAGCATGATCTCTCGTGGGACAGATTATAGTACATTATACTACACATAAGAGGGAAGAAATTAGAACAAATGGCTATCTATTATTTAACAATTTCAAATACGATAAGAACTTAAGTACTTCAAATAATATTTTTAGGTAACCAAATACTGTTATATACTGTTGTAACCTGATAAGAATTGCAATCATTATTTAAAATTAAATATTTGCAATATTAATTAACTCAATCTATATAAAACACCAACCTAATGAATTCCTCTCTTATAATTTTTTAAGTTACATAGCAAATGACAAACATAATCAAAAAGCAATAAACTGCAAACTTAAGTAACAGTGTTAGGCCTCTCTCCAAAAAAAATAATTCTAGATCTACCACTAACCAATATTGTACTTCAATAAATTACAATGTATATGTAATATTAATATATTTCGTTATAAACTAAGATCTCTCATATAAAATATATATATATTGAATAAAATTCTAACTAATTTATAACTTGTTTAATAGAAGCATTTACTAAATATTTCTTTTTTTAAGTACCAAACAAAATAAAACTCAGCTATACTTTGGTGACCAGATCAATAAAAAAACCGAGTCAAAAATGTATTCTATATAAAAAAAAAAAATATTTACTTTTATATTCATATAAATACACCAAATACATTAGGTATATATTATTATATCAGTTTAAGAAATTAAAATTATTATACTTTGAATTTGACTTTACTAATTTTAATAAGGTTTTTGTTTAAAACTAAATTATAAAACTTTAAACAACTCATATTAAAATGTATTTGAATTTGCAAAATTATTTTAATTGTTTCATTCAAACCTCGATTCAAACCTGCTGCACTTATTTTCAATATATATTTTTTTGATTTTAAATGATCAGTTCACTCACCATGTCCAATACTTAAAAATGCATGACACAATGAAAATTCAATTTCTGTATCATAACGATCTCTTACTATGAAATCAGATTTTTTTGAATAATTATTTCTATTTTCATACTAACATTTAAGCATTTCAGTATTATAGGAGCAGATAAACAATAAATTAAAAACAAATTAACATCACAGCACTCATAAGCATACTAACAATTAATTTTTCTACTAACATAGAAAATTGTGGTAATGCTTACCACCACTGCTCGCCTATCGTGAAATCTTAAACTATGATTGAATCTAATCTATAAATAGATCAGTTATATCATTATATGTACAAAAGTCAAAAATTGATAAACAAAATAAATGAGAATAATAATAATAACCATAATAACTAGTATAAATATTACAAAAAAGAAAATAATTCCAGGACAAATCAAAGTCCCGATTAAGACTTTTAAAAAACAGGACAATCCTAGAAAACCAGAATGTTTCAACATTTAGTTATACATGAAAAATTTCAATAAAACATAAAAACAATATTCATTTATCTGTTTTTAGATTAAGTAACTCATCACAAATAATGTATGTAACTAATGCTTATTATTACTGAATATTAACTGACGCTGAATTATATACTGAATATGCTTATCATATTATTGTAAAATATCTACTGTAACATTTAATGAGTATTTAAAAAAAGTGCTGAAATAGTAGGTACTTAACTTTCATAAAATCAATAAGAAAATAATGTATAACGGTACAATTAAAACAAAAAAATGAATTTAAAAAACATATCCTTATGAAAATGAAAAAAATCAATGAAATATATTAAATAAGTATAAATATTAAGATTATAATGAAATATCAAATATAAAACCAATTAATATCAATATTGAAAGATATACAAAATATCTTTATTGATATATAGGTAAGTATTTATTATCTTTAAAGGAGCTGTTATTTGGACAAGTTAATAACTATTACCCAAAGTCGATGAAAACATCACAAGAACAACAATAACCTTAAGGAGGTAGGTAGGCATATATTTTTGACAATCCAAGCAAGGGTAATACAAATTACAATTTCCAAGTACTATAAGTCTGTCAGTGATAAGAATTTAATCACAGAATTAATAAAAGTATACGAATACTATGTTAGTAACACACTAATTCTAGTCTAGAGTAAGATCGTGACTGTGAGTAACGTCTTAAGTGGTTTGACCATAGACTTACTTATTATTAAACAGTAGTTCTAGAGTAAAACTTACGGTGTTATCGCGGCGTTGGGTTCAAACTGTTGCTCGACCGTGATTCAACGATGTCTGGTCACTGTCGGATGACCGACTCGTAAAAACCGTTTGGCTGACGCACATAGTGATCACAAAACTTCGACTAAAAAAACAAAAACCCGAAGATAACCAATAACGCGCGCAAATAAACGTAATATTCGTTGTTAAGTTCTTTTCACTTTATGTACGAATTCATACAACAAACTCCAATACCGGTTGAACGTCAACACGGAATGTCGGAATCAATGGTATTGGTAGACGGTAGTCCCCGTTGACAAGGAGCAGCGCCCGACTCTCGGCAATTCGTCGTGTCTCGCCGCTGGCGATCGGGACAGTTGATAGACTGCGACGACATCTATCGCCGCACTAAACACCCACTAAACCTCAGTGTGACCACCACGATGTTTGTTTTCGTTATGACAAAATTTGATAAGACAAATGATACATGATACACCATTCATACGTTCCATTCGTGATCTGTCTTTTGAATCTTTTCATGTTTTTGCGGTTTTCAGTTTTGCCTTTTGTAATATTACTAATTGTATAAAATTAATAACTCGCGTACATACTATAACCTTTTAAGTAAAATTAAATAACTGATAAATGGTAATTGTGGATCAGAGTGTTCACTCTCGAAAATGCTATTAGCCCATAAATCTTATAGTTACTTCTAAGTAATTAAGTATTAAACTAATTGAAAACTATGAAAAAATCATCAACACTAATCAGTAGAAAATAAATAAAGTATACAGATCTTCACACCATATCAATGACATACCTATTATATATTATTTTTATACCTAATATATATTAATTAATATCATAAATCCCGAGGAATTTCATTTCAATTGACAGTAATTATCAGTCACATATTATTTATGCCTGATTGTATAAATCACAATAACTTTCCAAGATGTTCCCAGTATTCACTCGGATGTAAGTTGTGATATCCTAGTGGTTAGGATCACTATACAAAAGTATAAGGTACCTACTTTAAATACTTTTGATAGACAAATAGGTATTTGAAATGTACCTATACCTTAACTTATTAATTGTTACTCAAACGTTTATGGGCTCGTGCTTTGTATTTATTTTTCTTTATCGATTATTTTGTTGAACCGTAATCATAGATTTACAGGTACATTTTTATTTGTGTACCACCTACCTTAAAACACAAGTTCTAAGTAAAGAAAAATATAGAAAAAGAAAATTCAAAATAGATGCCAGTTATTTATTTATAAATTAATAATTATATTATCATTTATCTATCACTAAAATATAATGCAAAGTGTTTTCTTTTAATCAAAAATATCTACAATTATTTAATTAATACTATAGATCAAAACTTATACCAAAGTGTAGTATTAATGAATATTGAAAATAATATTCTGAAGTCTAAGCATTGAACAATATAGATTCTCAAGAAATAATAAATTTAATGTGGACAAAAAGCTCATTATTGAATAATAACTGAATTGTTATTATACATCCCAGAAAGAAAACAAGTTGATTGTTATATCTACTTCCTTTAATCAAATCCTGTATTGAAAGTTGATGGTTATATACTTATATATTACAAATTATTAATTAAACATATAGATACACACCTGCAGTGTTTTAAAATATAAAATAAATTTAAAATTTTCTAAAATTTGTGTTTTTATTAGGTACCTACCAAAATGTAATAAAATTGACTTATTAATTTTTAATATTCCACTTAATCAATTATAAATTTGCTAGCTAAGTGAATTATTTTTTTCCATGAAAAATTCGTCATTAAAATTTCAGAATATGCCAAGAATGATCTATTTGTCCCTGTAGGTAACAAGTATTAGGTAGGTATATACTATTTCTCCATTCAGAATTGTGTTTCATAGTAATATACATTACCTATACAATGATTTATTACTAATTCAACTAAACACAAAAAAAAAAAAACATTCATGACAGTGGTTTACTCAATAACAATATCTAAACAATTGATGTCTACCGACTACCATACTACAGTAAGTTTCTCCCAGTTTTATATTTGTATTTTAACTGAACATTTCAATCTAAATGCCACAATTTAAATTGAAAATATAACTAAAACTAATAATTAATATGTTTTACCTAGCCATATCATCCATTAGTTAAACGAAACAAACTATGTTAGTATGGACTGTGTGTCATCCTTTTAATCCCGAAATCGAAGAAACAGTGAATTTTTCTTTTTGACATTTCATTACCAACACAAGCATTTTAAGTGCTTAGTTTAGACCAGGGATAGGCAACTCAAAATTACTAGAGGGTCAATTTTTAAAAAATTAATATCAAGCGAGCCAAAACATGGAAAGCAAAAAAACAAAATTCAAAAATATGTATTTTAAATTTTAATTAAACATTTATTTTGTTTATAATGTGAATTTTTAACTTTAAAATTATATGATGTGATTTGAAAATGTAGCACAAGTCAGATAAAAAAGGCTTGTGAGTTGTGGGCCACCAGTTGCCCGACCTGGTATAAAGAATAACAATTAACAAAGAATTTTAAAATTTTAATATATTTATAAATATTATTTTAAATAATTTATTCTAAATGATCCTATATTTATATACCATTATTAAATGTCATGTAAATACAAAGTGATATAAATAAATCCTTATGTATTTAGAATAAATATACCTAAGTATCTATTTACGAATAATTTAATATTTATAAATTAATCTATACTAAAAGGTGTCAATAGACAAAAAAAATAACAAATTGTTAAACCATTAGGTACTTACATTTTCGTTCTACTTAAATTCTAAAAATATAAACTATACTATTTTAATGATATTAATTACCTACCTATAATTTACGTCTTATACCTACTGATTAGTGGTTACTATACGAGTATAACAAAGGTGGACATTAACTAGTTAAAAATTTTAAAAAAATTAATTAGTTAGTTTATTTTCCAATCAACTTATGAACTTCAGGAGTTCAATTGACAGTTGAAATGACTTAGCTTTTTGCAGTTGATATTAGAAATTTTTTTAATAAAATTATGAATTATAAATTGTATTATTTTAATGTTTTATGACGTTCAATTGCTATATTATAAAAAAAAATAATATTTGTTAAATTATTAATTTGAGATGTGTATAGTTTAAATTAATAAATAATATATTATGTAACGTAAAAGGGTATTTACACTGTACAATGTGCACTATGATAAAAATTAAATTAAATATGTTTTTATAATTTAGTAAATTAGAAATATGTAGATAGTCATTCTTTATGTGATTTACATAATAATTTAAAAAAATAGCTTAACTTTTTTTAAACTGAGTTAAGTTAGTATTTCTTTCTATATTAAATATTAATTTATCGAGTTAAATTTATAATTTGTTAACGGTTAACTTCTAACTTATCGATCTTGTGCTCTTTTAACTTTCCCATCTTTTCTATATAGTATATTATTATAGAAATTGTTATTGTGCATTTGTGCCACATCTATGAGTATTAAAATACCAATAATTAGTGCTCTGTAGGGAAATGATGTATTTTTTATTCTACGATCCTAATTTCTAAGATAACTACATGTTTAAGTTTCTATAGCTTAAGCTTATATTATTCGGTTGCTGCATTCTAATGATTGCGAATTATGTTAACAATAAATGAATAAAAAACAAAAGTCGCTCTACTGGTCGTTAGTGTCAATGTACGTCGTCATTGAGTAGGTACCTAATCAATGATGGATTTAAGAAGAAAGGCCTTGTCTGCTAACATTACAGAGATCTCATAAAATAATTATTCAGAGCTAAGGTACATTTTTATTTTTAGTAAATATTTAAGTTAAATATTTGTTTAATTGCCTTAATTATAATTAAATTATATACCAATCAACTATAAATTAATAAGAAAATAACACTAAAAGACAAAAATGTGAAAAATGGTAGATAAGTGAGTACTTTTCTGTTGAAGGTACATCACATTTAGATTGAGTTATTATTATAGATCTATTAAATTTGAATTCAATGATAGGTATATCATTTTATAAAAAACGATCCTGAATAAAAATGCTCTATCAATCTATAATATATCGCCGAATAAAAATATTGTTTTGATAAAACTATTAAAGTAATTTATTTTACTTATAGTACCTATTCAATTATTATGATAATAAATATTTATACCTTATTATATAAACTTATATAACTCAAAATTTAATAGGTAACATATTTTTGTGAATACCGTAAAACAGTAAAAATAGAATCATAGTATACCTACCTATCAACTACTAATAATTAATAAATATATAATAGTTTAAAATAAATCAAAAATTATATCACTTATAATAAAATTCATAGTATGAAATACATAAAAGTTTAAGTTTCTCCAAATAAAGATTTTAAATTATAAAAAAATAAAAAATGATAATTTTAACATTTAGTGAAATTTTCAAGTATCTTTTTTTATTATTATTATTATTATTGAAATACAATAAAATATCGAAAATTGTTTAAAGAAATAATTATTTTACGGAAAAACAATGAATGGCTTAAATATCTGAAGTTTCAATGCTTATAAAAAATTAATTTACCTTTCCGGTAGAATTATTTTAAATATTAATTGAATAGCAGCTAATAAAGAAATCTGTATTAAATTTTTAAATATTAGGTATAAAAACAAACATTAAATTTTATACGAATTTTTTAAAATTTCTAACTTCAATCGTTTATAAAAGATTAATATGAGTTGTGAGTTGTGACTATAGATAATAGATATTTTTTAATTAAAAATGAAAAATTTATAAGTAGCTTTGTATTAAATTTTCAAACATTCCTACCCATCAAATAATTTTTAATTGACATTTATAAAAAAAAAAAATTAAAATTTCTTATGTCTATATAAATAACTCAAAATAACCTAAATATTTCAAAAATAATTATACTATTATAGAAAATAATAATATATAAAAATTTAGTAATAATTTCAAATACTACAATTACCTGTTGTCTATATAGTTGCATCAAAAAAACAAAATCGATATTTTCGGAAATTTTATTTATGTAAAAATAATCGTTTTTCCTTAAATTTTTTTTTTTTTTTTTGCTTTCCCCGGCTATAAAAACAAGTACGGGGAATTTTTAGTATGACCTCTTTAAAGTAAAAATTAGATCCAATTTGAGATGTAGGTATAGAATATTATAGACATATAGTTATTACTTATTACTTATTAGTTATAATTATCGTAATTTATGTAAACATGTTATATCATTTCTGTA